CCCCCCCGTCGTGGGGCTTGAACTCTTGGCCTGGGTGCTGTCCCTGAGCTCTTCAGCTCAAGGCTAGCGCTCTACCACCTAAGCCACGGCGCCACTTCCGGTTTTCTGGTGGTTCATTGGAGATAAGAGTCTCATAGACTTTCCTGCCCAGTCTGGCATTGAACCGTGATCCTCAGATCTCAGCCTCCTGAGTAGCTAGGATGACAGGCGTGAGCCACTGGTGCCCAGCTGATATACACTTTTGAAGCATAAGTATGTCCCAGGAAATGCTTGGGATATTAAAAAAAAAGAAGATTGGTTGTTTATCTGAATTCCAGGATTCCTGGGTGCCCTGTGTTTCTCTGACAACTCACCCAGATGCCAGTGGGAAAGGGCTGCAGGACCCCGCTGACTTACCGAGCGTCAGGGCTTCTGCCAGTCACTGGTTGGTCACCGTTGGTTGTCTTAAGGCTTGAAGGCGTGGACGACAGATGGATTACCGTGGTTGTCATGACCGTGTTCAAGTGTTCTGAGGCTAAACAGACAGAGCAGAACACAGTTCATTCCTCGGACAGCCCAGTTTTGGGTATAGCCTAAAGGCATTTTAGTGCTATAAATTTTCCTCTAGTTACTGTGTTAACAGCATCCCACCGCTTTGGTACTGTAACAAATGTTGCTGTAAATCAGTTTGATATGATAGCCAAGACAAACTGGTGATCAGCTAAAGTATTTCACTAGTTCTTTTCCAAAGAAAAATGAATTAGCTGGGCAATGATGCCTCATGCTTATAGTCCTGGCTACTCAGGAGGCTGAGATCTGAGGATCATGATTCAAAGCCAGCCCAAGTAGGAAAGTCTGTGAGATTCTTAGCTACAATGAAGCCAGAAGTAGAGCCGTGGCTCAAGTGGTAAAATGTTAGCCTTAAGTAAAAAAAAAAAAAAGCTAAGGGACAGCACCCTGGCTCTGGGTTCAAGCCCCAGGAGTGGTGTACACACAAAAAGAATTTCTGAGGGGCAAATTAAAGAGACAATTCACAATAATCCATTTAGCCCTGTGTACCCATACCCAACACGTTCACCGGTATGTGTGAGGCCTTCAGGCCCGGTTCACTCTTTTCTGGATCTCTGTCTTGGTGGAGGCTAGCTCCCAGCACCTGTTCTGTCCCTTCTCAGCCTCTGAGAAGCCCAGGGGTCATGGTACCCTGGTCATACATTGTAATTCTAACTCTTATGTCTCACAACACAATTATATCTGGATAGGGAGTTAATGAGACAATTATGTTAATATCCTTAGAGAGAGTCTAATGCAATTGGGCTGGGTCCCTTACTAGAAGTTTGGACACATGCAAAGATCTCAAGGAGCACAGAGGCACGGTCATGGAGGAGTATGTATTGGGGGGCTGGATGGCCTATCTATTGGTGAGAATGGGTTATTGAAATCTCTTACTATTATTGTGCATGGTTCTATGCATGTTTTTAGGCCCAGTAAAAAAGCTTCCTTATAGCTGGGCATCGGTGGCTCACACCTGAAATCCTAGCTATTTAGGAGGCTGAGATCTAAGGATTGAGGTTCAAAGCCAGCCTAGGCAGAAAAGCCCGTGAGACTCTCATCTCCAATTAACCACCAGAAAACCAGAAGTGGTGCTGTGGCTTAAGAGGTAGAGCGCTCACCTGATGCTGAAGAGCTCAGAGACAGCGCCCAAGCCCAGAATCCAATCTTCATGGCCTATGGGGTGGCGGGTGGGGGAAGCTTCCTTCAATACTTTTATTTAGTCTCTAGACTGTACAAAGTTTTTTTTTTTTTTTTGCAAAAAAGAAAACCATAGTTGAGTACACTGAGAATTGCTGTATCATCTGGATAGAGAGTTCCCTTTATCAATGTATAGTGACTTTCCTTACCTTTTCTAATTTTTATTCTGCCTACTTTATTTGGGGGGTCCGGTCGTGGGGCCTGAACTCTGGGCCTGGGCGCTGTCCCTCAGCTCTTCAGCTCAAGGCTAGCGCTCTACCACTTGAGCCACAG